CTAAATTCAGCCTCACTGGATTTCATACTTAACGACATGAACATAAGTCTTTCTTTATTAGGATCAATATTTCAAAAAATGTCACATAGTTCAATTGATGTGTATTCCGAGATCATAGAAAGAATGAAATGGACATTTATATTTAACTTGACCAGAACCAATTTGTTTTAATAATATTTTTGCATGCCATAATATAATAAGACTGAAATTTGTCTTACGTGTATCGCCTCGTTGTCCTAATATACCGTCCCAAATTCTTATCCGCATATTGTCAGTCGGAGCCAGTGTTAACCCCTTCAAAGTAAAAAAGAACAGATAAACATATAACTGGAGAACTCATGTGCAAACCTTCATATTCAATATCAATTTTGAGACTGATTTATAAATACTTCTGATTTGATTAAAATCGACACTTTTGTTTAAATATATACTGTGCGGCGTGTACAAACGTGCCTCGAATCTCACTTGTCACTGACTGATAAAAGTGTTTAGGAGCGGGATATTAAGGTATATCGAAGCTTTCACGGTGCAAAATTCAAATAGAATTATGTATTCTAAAATAGTTTGTTCCCAGTATAAACATAACTTGGTAATGTGGTTTCGATCATCCAGAGTGGCAAGTTTTGCATGATTTACAACATGATTCACGTGATCATCTTTAAAACACAGGTTTATGTACAAATACAAATGAACCCTATTCTTATACATTAAGAATATCTCCTTTTCTACAACCACTGCAGTGCAAACAAACACACACAGGAGTAGATCTCGCGTAGATTCTGCCTGACCAAAATACTATCACTTAAACATAACCGAATTTATTCAAACCTTAACTGTTAGTATTTTTTAGTCTAATGCTAATTTAATTCATTTGTTTATTGATCAATCAATCACACGTTTGTTATTTTCAATTTATGAGATAGAATAATTCAACTAAAATATTTTGTTGATTGTAACACAACAATGTTAGCCTTGGATGTGTAATTGTAGAGCCTGATGTAAAAGTTATTGAATGTAACTGATCGCTCTAATACTAGTTTTTCTCTAACTTTCATTTATATTTTGATGAAGTTGCTTTTACTTAGTCATAAAACGCTAGAAAACCAAATTTAGATATATTGGAATTTCAAAAATTTATTGTCGTTGTCTTTATTATTATTACTACATTTTTTCCGTTATTTTTAAATATTTTTTTAGGTTTCATTTCAAAAGGGTTATCTGTTGGTACCAGACAAAAAATGATATGAAGTGCTTTACCTTGTAAGTTGTCTAGACAGACAAAGTGTGAACACTGTTATTCAGGAGAATTACTTACATCGTTGAGGCTATATTGAATGGTCCCATTTTGATGGATAGCCATTGTGACCCCAACTGAAAAAATTAAATAATGGTGTCAAAACAATTGACATATGTACCTGAACTTACTACTGGCGAAATTCAAAACGCATGATAGATGAAGTTGAACGAAATCGGAAATGTGACAGATATGATTGATTGTAGTGGATAATAAATGAACAGTAATATGAGTTGACCACAGTTGAAAATAGCAGTCAAGTTAACAAAAGTTAACACTCTGACTAGGAAGTCCTAACGTAGTGTGTTTTTTGTCTACAAAAATGATGGGTGACAAAACATGTTGTTTGGTGCACTCTGGTTTTCTATGTTAACCAATAAACTGTCTATCTGTGATGACTATTTCATGTAAAAATAATTTTGGCAAACAAATAACCATCAACATTTATCAAATATTCTATCATTCAGCAACAAAATAATGGTGGGTTTTAACTTTTTCAATCAGTCCACCTTTGTAATACAACCTAAAAAAGATTGATTGCAACAGGATCACTTAACCGAAACTGCATTTTCGAATTCAAGAAAACGAAATTATATAAATTTAAATTACTTTGAGATCAGAAAACACTTTATGTTGATACGACACAGTTATGAATATGAAATTCATCAAAGACGCAAACACATCAATACATACTTATTCTATAGCGCTCAATGGTATTGTATTTCTTTAAAACTTCCCATTTAATGATAAACACCTTATCTGAAAGTTAACAATAATTCAACGATGCTTGTGATTATGATAGATGACTGAACATTCCTTACATTGGAAAATAATATAGCAAAATCAGTTTGTTGCATTTCTAATTTTGAACAGAATGAACAAGTTTAGATGATTCATTTTGTTGCGAATTTTTTTTTAACAGTTTATGAAAAGTCAAAATGATATTTTGTGCAGAAGTCGCCGAGGATGTCACTGTGATCTATGTGTGTCAAATAACATACTTAAAATGTAAGGGAAGAAGGTTATTGGTTGCCCAAAATGTAACGGTACGAATTGGAGGATCATCTGTTTTCCAAAAATAACTTCATTGAATGTGAATAAATTTCAAACTATAGCACTGCCAAAATAACAAAACTTACCAGTACTCAATATCTGGAATTCATCCTCCATTGCTTCAACATCAGTTATTTGAAAACTTCTCACCTCATTCCCAGGTTGAAAGCCACTTGTCAAAAACACAGTCCCTTCATAAAAATAGTATAAACACATAAAATTAATTAGCTGTGATTTATTCAACATATAAATTACTTTGACACAGTCAATAATCTAACGCACATTTTAAACTAGCATTTTATGCTCGAAAAGTAATGATTGCTGTTGTGTTACATTTATAATATAACCATAGTTATACAAAACTCAGTCGGTTACCATTAGAAAATATTCCAACGTGCTTGAACTTCTCGCAGTTGATTACCAATTCAAATTTCATCTGATGTTGCTGAAGGTTAGATTTTAGTTAGTTATTAGTAACAAATGGCATAACCTACCGACAGTATGTCTTTATCAGTAAAAATGGATTGAAATTGATTAAACGAGTCACTTTTCATCGGTTTAAGGTTATGCTCATACTAAAAATAATTTAATGATTAGAGTAAACTAATTTAATCAGGCATCTTACGTCCATCTTTGTTTCCTGAGCTACAGTGTTCGTCAGGAACAGAGCAGGGCAGCAAAACAGTAGAGTTATCCAGCAAAACTTCATGTTAACCATCTCTCTCTAAAGCTAAATAAATTCAGCTAATGTGTTTCTCACTGAATGAATAATAAAAATTTTCGGTTGCATGCCACTTCATATAGATTTTAAGATTTTCTTAGATTGACTGACGAACCTGACCAAATAACCAATGATAAACCACCAAAGTAAACTTGAAAATTATTGGTCTATGAAAATGTCTTTAACTGACTGACTGAACCATAAACACAAATGCTTTCATCATTTAAGACTATAACAACTAACTGAAGCCAGCCAGTAGATATGGTAAAAGTTGTTCCAAACCATAATGGTTGGTGTAGATAAGTAGGTTGGATGTTGCAGGTGGGTTGGAAATGCATAATGTGAGCTAATTCCGGAGAAAATGATTGGTTTACTGTCATTGAACAAAACAGAACTCACAGACCATTCATTGAACATGTTACCATAGTCTTCACAACTGATTTAGAACTTTTACTTAGTTCAGAAGAACCAAGTTGTTAGGAATAATGTTGATTTACAAAATATAATAATGAGGCATAGTAATATGAAGCTTTTGTGGTGTTTCATTTATTCTGTTTCTTTTTATCTCTGTAGCTCAAGAAGTCATAAGTGAGCTCTTTTTTGGTATAGTTGTCCAGACACGCTTGTAATAGGATTTCTCAGTAGGAAGTAGAAACCAGTGCAAGGTTACAGACATGAATCGTAGACGAGGTTAACAAGGAAAAGTAACATCAATATCACTGATTTGTTACATCCTGCTATGTTGTAAGGAGCCGTAAGCAAACAAAATGTTCTGCCACACAGACATGTGTAGATTGAGGTTATCGCCCCAGCGTCATGAATGCTGGTCAGATAATTAACAGTAGTTGAGCAGCATCTAGAGGCTTCTTGTTCTACCTGTCTACTAGAAACGAAAAATACTTTTAAGATAAGAAAGGAATGATTGGAATGTAAATTTAGATGAAAGTCACGGATAACACCTCTAAGGCGTAACCTATTACTGTTAGTGGTAGCAACGTTATTTGTCTATCAGTTCGTGATACATGTACGGGTGATAATGAGGACACAATATGTTCATAGTCTATAATCCGTGTCTGAGGTTTATCTAAATATTTCGTGGACTATAAAAGAGTCCTGGGGACTTGGTGTGAGTTCTGGGAATAGTCGATAAATCTCTTCTGTTCCACAATAGACTATATCGTATTACAAACAAATTACAACGCAATGATTTTTTTGTGTTTTGCCGGTAAAAGTTTATATGCGTAGTTTCGAAGTCTGTGGACAGTGTCTTGGTTCATAATTGAGCGGTATTTTATGAACGAGAGACCGTTAATCAGTTCATTGAGAAGTATTAGATTGTTTTTCAGCCGACGGCACCATAGAGGTTCTAGTGAAAGATGCTTGCAACTTTTTGTGTAGTCGAGGTTATGGCTCAATCTGAGCAGTCGCAGTGTGAAGCTTCTTTGAACATTCTCTACTAGCATTTTGTCCACGATATTCGTGTTTGAAAAGATAAGTAAACAATATTCAAGTGAGGGCCTTATACAGATTTTGAAGAGTGTAAGCTTTGCTTGACTTGTCAAGAACCTCTTCTTTATAAACCCAATTAGCCGTCTGGAAATAATAATGAGGCATGTTCTTCAAATTTTAGGCTTTTAGAGTAACTAATACCCAGATCACGCGCTGATATAAGTGTCTGAACCCTACATTTTCGTAAGTAGAGTGGTGTATCAAGGTGACGCTTACTAAAATGCAATATGCCACATTTTATGTGGTTAAACGGTAGTGGCCATGTCTCACTCCAGGAAGTTATGTTATTAAGATCACTTTGGATCTTAGCTATATTTTCGTCCAGATCTTTAGGCTTATAGCTGTATACTATTTCCAGATCATCAGCATATAAGTATGCTCTTTCAAATTTTATAGTACTATATATATCGTTTATATACATCAGAAAAAAGAGTGGACCAAAGACACCTCCCTGGATAAATTAACAAGTTATTGGTCTTGGTGAAAAAAGATAATCGTTGTACATAACAATTTGTAACAGCCCACTAAAGGAATGAAGCAAACCATAAAACCTGGGAGTTACGGATTCCGATTGACTTTAGTTTGAGTAGAAGCATTCTGTGTGAGACATTATCAAAAGCCA